TCAAAATCTCCCAAGAAACAAAAGTCTAGGACCAGATAGCTTCACACACGAATTCTACCAAATATTTAAAGAGTTAATACCTATTCTTCTTAAACTATTAAAAAACTGAAGAGGAAGGAATGCTTCCAAATAAACTGTATAAGGCCAGCATTACCCTGACACCAAAACCAGACAAAGACATTAAAAAAAAAAAAAAGGTATTGCAGGCTACATTCTTGATGAACACAGATGCAAAAATCCTCACATATATTAACAGATTGAATCCAAAAATATATTAAAAGGATCATTCCCCACGATCAAGTGGGATTTATTCCAAGGATGCAAGGATGGTTCAATTTATGCAAATCAATTAACAGGATACGCCACATTAACAAAAGATAAAAACTATATGATTATGTCAACAGAAGTAGAAAAAAAAATTTGACAAAATCCAACATCCATTTAGGATAAACACTCTCAACAGAGTGGGTTTACAGTGAACGTACCCCAAAATCCAAGTATGAAAATCCCACAATTGGGGTGCCTGTGTGGCTCAGTTGGTTAAGTGTCTGCCTTTGGCTCAGGTCATGATCCTGGGGATCTGGGACTGAGCCCTGAGTTGGGCTCCCTGCTCAGCGGGAAGTCTGCTTTTCCTTGTCCTTCTGCCCCCTCCTCTCTGCTTGTTCTTTCTCTCTCTCCCCCCTTCTCAAATAAATAAAATCATAAAAAAAAAAAAAAAAGAAAAAGAAAACCACAACTAATATCATACTCATGGTGAAAATTTCAAAGCTTTTCCTCTAATATCAGGAACAAGACAACAATGCCTATTTGCCACTTTAATTAAATATAGTACTGGAAGTCCTACTACAGCCAACAGAGAGAGATAAAAAGCATCCAAACTGGTAAGGAAGAAGTAAAATTGTTGCTATTTGCAAATGACTTGATACTGTACAAGAAAATCCTCAAGACTCCACCAAAAAACTACTGGAAGTATATCCAGTAAGGTTACAGAATGTACAGCATTAATATACAGAAAACTGTTGCATTTTTATATACTAATAACAAGCTAGGAGACGAGGAAATTAAGAAAACAATCCCATTTACAATTGCAACAAAAAGAGTAAAATACCTAGAAGTAAATTTAACAAAGGAGAGACCTGTACTCTAAAAACTATAAAACACTGATGAAAGTGAAGATGTCACAAATAAATGAAAAAAAAAAAATACCATGCTTATAGGCTGGAATAATACTGTTAAAATGTCCATATTACCCAAAGCAAACTACAGATTCAACGCCATCCCTATCAAAATATCAACAGTATTTTTCACAGAACTAGGAACAAACAATCCTAAAATCTGTATGGAACCATGAAAGACCTCAAATAACCAAAGCAATCTTGAGAAATAAAAGGCTGGAGATATCACACTCCCAGATTTCAAGATACAGCACAAAACCATAACAATCAAAACACTATGGAAGTGGCACAAAAATATATACATAGACAAACGGAACAGAATAGCGATCACAGAAATAAAACTACACCTGTATGTTCAATTAATCTATGACTAAGAAAGCAAGAATATACAATGGGGAGAAGACAGTCTCTTAAATAAGTGGTGCTGGGAAAACTGGACAGCTACATGCAAAAGAATAAAACTTGACCATTTTCTCACACCAGACACAAAATAAACTCAAAATAGATTAAAGACCAAAATGTAAGTCCTGAAACCATAAAATTCCTAAAAGGAAACATAGGCAGGAAACTCTTGGACATCTACGTTAGCATTATTTTTTGGATTTTTCTCCTCAGGCAAGAGGAACAATAGCAAAAATAAACTACTGGGAACATACCAAACTAAAAAGCTTTTGTACCACAAAGGAAACTATCAACAAAGCAAAAAAGGAACCTACTGATTGGGAGGAGATATTTGCAAATGATAATATCCCAATAAAGGGTTAATATCCAAAATATATAAAGAACCCATACAACTCAACACCAAAACAATCTGATTAAAAAATAGTCAGAAGACCTGAACAGACATTTTTTCCAAAGAAGACAGATGGTGAGAATACACATGAAAAGACGCTCAACATCACTCAGGGAAATGCAAATCAAAACTACAATGATATCCTGCCTCATACCTGGCAAAATGGCTAGTATCAAAAAGACAGGAAATAAGTTTTGGCAAGAATGTGGAGAAAGGGAACTCTCATGCACTGTTGGAGGTAAACTGGTACAGCCACTATGAAAAAGAGTAGGGAGGTCTTCAAAAAATTAAAAATTTGATACCATTCAGCAATTCCCCTTTCGAGTATTTACCTGTAGAAAACAGGAACACTAATTCAAAAAGATATGTGCACACCTATTTTCACTGCACTATTATTTACAATAGCCAAGATATGGAAGCAACCTAAGCGTCCACTGATAGACGAATGGCTGAAGAAGAATGGAATACTACTCAGTCATAAAAAGGGAAATCTTGTCATCTGCAATATGGATAGACCTTGAGGGTATTATGCTAAGTGAAATAACTCAGTAAAAGACAAATACCAGGACCTCACTTACATGTGGAATCTAAGAAACAAATGAACAGACAAATCAGAAACAGACTTATAAATACAGAGAACTGGTGTTTGCCAGAGGAGAGTGGATGGGTGAACAGATGAAGGGGATTAAGATAAACAAATGTCCAGTTATAAAATAAGTCACAGGGATGAAAAGTACAGCACAGGGAATAGTCAAGAATATTGTAATAATTTTGCATGGTGGCAGCCAGTAAATACAATTATTGTGGTGAGCATGTCATAACGTTTATGAATATCAAATCACTATGTTGCACACATAATACAGTATGTTAACTATACTTCATTTAGAAAGAAGGAACAAAAATTCTGATGCCTCTGAGTGCCTGACACTTAAGCTTTTAATTGCCAAATTATCCATTTTAAAGACATCCATTTTTAATAAATATACTGCCAGCTGTTAGGATATAGCTAGTAGCAAACCAACTATATAAGGAACCAGGCCACCTTAACTCAGGAAGTTCCTCTTTTAAGAAAACTCTGGGTGATATAGATAACTGACCCTTAGAGTGCCCTGTTTCTCCCTTTCTTGTTCCCTGATTCCTGCTTTTGTTTTAGATTTCCCAATAAAGGGTGAACCTGCAAAACTCTAGGCACCTTACCCTTTGTCTCCAATAAGGTCAAGCCCTAGGTCCATGCTCCCTTCCTCTTTCTACCCAGGACCTTTCTATGTGGCCCTCCAAGACTAGTAAGAAATCTTGTTTTTCAAATTTCCCTGATGGTTGCTGCTAAGGTACATCTTGCAATCAGAAGAACCACTAAGGTCAGTCCAGCCACAACACTGATTCTGGTCTGGGGGGGGGGGGGGGGCTTTGCCACAAGTGGCAGGTGTCCAAGCGAGTTCCTTAAGCATTTCTGGCCAATAGCATCACTAGCTATCAACTGAGACTGATACAACAGTTAAGTTTATTCTCCCACCACCTTGGAATATTCTCATCAACACTTGGTATTACCAATTCTATGTTTATCCATTCTGGAAGGTGTGTCACAGTATTTAGTTGTGGTTTTATTTTGCATTTTTCTCCTCGTTATAAAGGCTGAGCAACTTTTCATATGTTTTTGGCCTTTTGGATAGAATATTTCTAAAGTGCATGTTCAACTTTCTATTCCTGTTTCTACTGGGTTGTTTTTTTTTTTTTGTTTTTTTTTTTGGGTTGTCTTTTACTTACTGGTTTATGGAACTTGAGTATAAGCTTTCTACACTTTTAGTACATGTAACTGATATTCTTCTGATATTCTTCTACTCTTAATGGTGATTTTTGATCTTAATTGTAACTTAGTCTAATCTACCAATCTTTTCTTTGTATCTCATTTAAGAATACCAATTAGGGATCTTTATCCCAGTTAGGAAGATATTTTCCTATATATCTTCTGAACACGATTCATCTTTTGTTACAGTTAGGCTGATATCTACCTGGAACTGATTTTTTTACACTGTGTGAGATTAAGTTTCATTATTTCCCCCACATAAGACATCTAATTATCCAAGTGGCATTTATTGAAAAGCTTGTTTTATCCTGCTGTTCTGTGGTGCCACAGAGATCAAGTGACCATAGATGCTGGAGTCTGGCTGGATTCTCTGATCTTTTCCATTAGTCTCTTTACCTTGCATTTAAGATTGTGCTTTAAAATCCAAAGATTGTTATTAGAATTAATAAGAATTGTCAGATACACAGTTAATCAAAGAAATTAACTGTATTTTTATACATTAGGGCCAAACAGAAAATGAAATTTTCAAAAAGATGTCAGTTCTTGATACATCAAAACCCTTAACTGTATCATCAAATACATTTGAAATAAATCTAAAGGAAAAAAAAGCTTTATTGTAGTTTTATAAGGCATATTTTCCACTCTGGAAAAGTTATTTTTTGGAAAATTCACCTTTACTCTAAAAAAAAAAAAATTTTTTTTTTAAGATTTTATTTATTTACTCACGAGAGAGAGAGAGAGAGAGAGAGAGGGAGAGAGACAGAGACACAGGCAGAGAGAGAAGCAGGCTCCATACAGGGAGCCTGATATGGGACTCGATCCAGGGTCTCCAGGATCACCCCTGGGCTGAAGGCGGCGCTAAACCACTGAACCACTGGGGCTGCCCTAAAAAGGATTTTCAAAAGATGTTATAAAGAAAAACTTTAGAAACAAAGGTGAAATCAAGTTTAGCCAAGTTGATAAAAGGAGTGAAAAAACTAAAATAGGCAAGATAAAGTACTTGCTAGATGTAGATCACAAACTTGGCTCTAAATTTTTCAGCAACCAAGAGGTTTTCTGCTCTAACAAAAAACTGCTTAGAACAGTTAGAATTACAATGTTCTGCATATTAAATAGAATCTAAATGAAAACACAAAAAAACTATAAAGGGTACATAGAGATTCAATGACTGAAATTATATCATGAGCTTATAAACTTAATTTTTCTCAGCACACTATTAGGAACTTACCTTTCTACCAAATTGTCCTGCTGCCTGACAAAGAACTGATACAATTCAAATGGAGAGGTCTTCTCTCTGTTTAGCCAAACAGCATTACCAGCGGACTTTCCCAGTTTTGCTCCGGTTGTACTTGTAACTAGAGGCACAGTGATTCCAAATACATCCTCTCCAGTCAACCTAAGCATAAAGAAAAACTTCATTAGGTGCTTCAAGCACAAGTGGTGGTAGGTTCTGCTAATCATTCTTCAGATTTCATTCTGGTGTCTTGCTTTAAGAAAACTTTTACTTTCTAAATCTTACTTTTTGTCCCTCTTAATTTTCACGGCCCTCACTCTGTTTTGGCATTTGTCATCCTAAAGTGCAATGGAACCAGTGATTCTGTGGTAGTTTCTGCAAAACCAGGGCCTAGGAAATTTTTTTCTTCTTTTTTTTTTTTTTTAGATTTTTATTTATTTACTCATGAGAGACAGAGAGAGGCAGAGACACAGGCAGAGGGAGAAGCAGGCTCCCGGCAGGCCTGATGTGGGACTCGATCCCGAACCCCAAGATCATGCCCTGGGCTGAAGTTGGCGCTAGACCGCTGAGCCACCCGGGCTGCTTCCTAGGAATTTTTTTTTTTTTTTTTAAGATTTATTTATTTATTTATTTATTTTTTTTTTAAGATTCTATTTATTTATTCATGAGAGATACAGAGAGAGAGAGAGAGAGAGAGAGAAAGAGAGAGAGAGAGAGAGAGGGAGGCAGAGACACAGGCAGAGGGGGAAGCAGGGAGCCGGCCCTCCATGCAGGGAGCCGACGCGGGACTCGATCCCGGGACTCCAAGATCACACCCTGGGCCAAAGGCAGGCGCTAAACCGCTGCGCCACCCAGGGATTCCTCCCCCTAGGAAATTTTCAAGGCCAAGGAAGGAGAGAAGAAAGTTGGGTAAGGGGAAGTGAGCTAGAGACACTAAGGATATTTTAAGGGATTTAAAAAAATGAGTGCCACACGGCCCTGTAGAGTTCATCTCCCTCAAGAAAATGCGATCAAAATCTCCCTTATCTGCCAAATTTTTGGAGTTGAAAAGAGTTTTGAGATGCCAACCCAAAAACTAACACTAGCCTTACGGAACCTGCCAGAGCCGAAGCAGAAACTCCAAGGAGACAACACGGCGGCGTTCACGCTCCAACCGCTCCAACCGCGAGAAAGCAGTTTCTCAAGTCAGGAAACACAGCGTCCCTCCGGGGAAGCCGGATCTGAATCCCGACGCGCGGTCTGCCGCCTGCTGAGCTCTAAGAATGCGCGTTCCAGGCCTAGTGCCGTCAAATGCAGCCCTTCAGCTCGCGTTAGCCAACCACATTAACACCGTTACAGGTGTAGCGGGGGTGAGACCCGAAAGGACGCGGAACGGGCGTCGTTCCCTATTCCTGATAGTGGATCACAGGCTACTCGTGGGTGAATTATTTGGTCACAGAATTTCGCCTGGGGCTAGATGCGCTTACTTTTTTTTTTTTTTTTTTCCCCCTTAAATTCATGAGACACACGCACCAAGAGGCAGAGACGCAGGCAGAGGGAGAAGCAGGCTCCGTGCAGGGAGCCCGACGCGGGACTCGACCCCGGGACCCCAGGGTCACGCCCCGGGCCGAAGGCGGGCGCGGAACCGCAGAGCCACCCAGGGGGTCCCGAAAGGCGCTTACTTGTGGATGAACTCGTATCCGGACGTGATGTTGCCCAGCTGATCGGACCCACCCAGCTGGACCCGGCATCCGTAATGCTGGAACAGATAGTAGAAGTCGTAAGCCTGGAGCACCTGGTATAAAAACTCGGCCAAGCTCATGCCGCCGGCGCTCTGGAGCCGGGCTTGCACGCTCACGCGGCTCAGGAGCGTGCCCATGCGGAAGTGGCCGCCCACGGCCCCTAGGAAGTCCACCAGGTGCTGCTTCTGGTACCAGGCCGCGTTGTCCAGGACCGTGAAGCTTCCCCAGGGCCGCCCGTTGGCGAAGAGCCGCTGGTGATTAGCCACCACGGCCTCGAGGCCTCGGCGGAGGGCGCGCGCGTTCCCGCGCACCTGCTCCGGCGCCAGCGCCTCGCGCTCCTTGGTGCGGCCGCTGGGGTCTCCGAGGCGCGCGGTGGCCCCCCCCACCAGGGCGATCACGTTGTGGCCCGCTCGCTGGAAGTGAAACAGGCCCAGCAGCGTCAGCAGGTGCCCCACGTGAAGCGAGTCGGCTGTGGGGTCGAAGCCGCAGTAGACGGTCTGGGGAAAGCTGCCCGAGCCACGGTCCAAGAGCTCGGGCAGCTCTACCTTCGCCCCCTTCTCGGGGAAGAACTCCTTGAACAGACCCCGGGCCTTCTGCACCGCCAGCAACCCCTGAGCGCCCGAATGGGCCTCACGCTGTCCCAGGAGCAAGACTCCCGACAGGCCCGGGGTCCCACACCGCCGGCCCCGGAGAAAGCGCCGCAACATGGGGGCCGCCATGTTGGACTCGGCACGACGGGAACGCTGGGATATCTCAGCCCTCGCCACGCCCCTCGGCGCCAACCTCTGCCAGTTTATACGGACGTTACTTCCGTGTTTTTCTGCGCATGCCCGGGCGGGGCGGGGCGGTCGCTTAGTTACGGAGCTTGAGTTCTCAGCAGTCGTGGGAGTTCTGACGACTCAAGCGAGGATTCCGCTTACCCTGCAGTCACCTTGAATCAGCTAAAAGTTCTATTTCCTCATTCGTATCGTAGGCGTGTCTGTGATAATAGTTCCTATGCCAGGGGGCTCTTGTGGGGACTGAGAGAGCGCTTGGCATCTCTTAAGCGCTCCTACAAATGCTGGGTTTTGTTTACATTTTCGGGTAAAAAAAAAAATTGTGATGCGCAGGTTCCTGTGAATTCTTGGTTCCGTGCAAAAACTTGTTCAGAGAGGTGGCGATGGGTTGGAAATTGGCTTAACTGAACGGGGAGATAACAAAGTTGGCGTTGGAACCCAGACTCCTCGTAGGGATTCCCCAAGCGGACGACAGCGCCTCGGCCGCGTGTATACATTAGCTTCTCCAGGAGGTGGCAGGCTTGTCCGAGCTATGGTGAGAGCGAGGTCCACACAGTAAATGCAGAAAACCCCGTGTTCCGTTTATCCGTTTAACGATTACAGGTAACCAGGCGGGACACAGCTTTCGTGTAAGCGGGTTCAAATTAGTCATCACATTGCCACAGCGTGACAGGTGCTATCGGTACTCCACTCACCAAGGATGGGGGTTCTCCTTGCCAGTTGGCTAGCATGGAATCCAGCTCCAAAACCCGATTTTAGGGTCCATTTCTGGGACCACTTTCAACACTAACTGTGTAAGGTCGACTTGGAGATCTGCGTGCAGAAGGACTATGGGGTGTACACTTGGAACAACATCTGTAATAGAGTGATGGAGGCAGGGCTGGGCTGAGGGAGAGAGTGGACTGTCAACAGTTTGCAGTAGCAGCCTCAAATAATCAATCCCAAGCGGGCTCTGGAGCCAGGATGTCCTTTCAGATTCATTCTAAGTTGAAACAAGGGGCAGGCCTTGTTTCTTGTCCAGCCATTCAATGTGGGATGCCCCTGGAGAGGAGGCAAAACCTTGGGCAAGGCTTTGGCAGAGAGCGAGATGCAGAAATGGTCTCAGCTGTGAACCATTAGCAACTTGATAAGCTCAGCAGCTGGGAGATTGAGTGCCCGGATCCTGAAGCAGGCAGGCATCTGGGCCATGGACTAAATGACTCCCTACAGGACCTTTCCATTACGTAACATTATAAAGTCATTTAGCAACATAATGAAATCTTATTTAAAGAATTAGTTTAGGGCAGCCCCGGTGGCGCAGCGGGTTAGCTCCGCCTGCAGCCTGGGGCGTGATCCTGGAGACCCTGGATTGAGTCCCACATCGGGCTCCCTGCATGGTGCCTGCTTCTCTCTCTGCCTCTCTCTCTGCCTCTCTCTCTCCCTCTCTCTCTCCCTCTCCCTCTCCCTCTCTGTGTGTGTCTCTATGAATAAATAAATAATCTTTTAAAAAATAAAAATAAAAAATTAGTTTCTTTGCATATATGATCATCAGTGAAGTGAGATTCTCATTCCCAAAAGGTTACTGTGATAAGATTTGAGATGCTTATTCAACAGGCCATGCAACAGTATCCCAAATTCTGAAGAAAATTAGCAGGCTGTGTTCTCTCATGTTGCTATTCAAGATATCTTAAAATTTGCAATTGTAACTTGTTTCCCTGCAACCTTATTTCCTGCCACTTTAATCAGAGACATATTTAAATATGTGTAGCAGGAAATTTTCCTGAGCACACACAGCAGATAGTGTTTTCTGTTTCAGGAAGATTTGAACGTTTTTAGAAGGCATCTTTCTTTCCTGAAGTTTCTGGTTAATAGGAGAGGTAACTATCTGTGGTTTTTACAGGTATGTTAGTAACCTTACACCCGAAAGTATGACTTCATATTGTGGTTTACTTAGTCACATCAGGAAATCATGCTTCTCCCAAAAGATAGGAGCAATAGAAGAAGGTGGGACATTTAAACCTTTGGAATTATATACATGGCTAAAATTTTATGGGCCTGGTCCTATGACTTGAGCTTGCCATGAGAAGAGGTGCATAAGTTGATTCTTGCGGTTTTTATTGGCTTAAAAAGGAAATAAATAATGTTAAAAAGTATTTTAGCGTGACTTATCTCAGGTATGATAAAGTTAGCTGACCTTGAATTAGGGTCACATCAATTTTGCAATTACCCCTTCCTGCAACAGAATGCCACATAAATATTCACTTTGAGAGCACCCCTATTTTATACGGTTTGGTTTCAAAATGTAAAAAAAAAAAAATGTAATAGCATTCAAAAGGCACAGGAAGAGTAAAGATTAATAGTGTTTTAATTGGCTTCTCACAGGTTATGCCCAACACTTTAAAGTTAGGCAGTCATACTGAATTCTGAAGCTTTTCTCTATCTGTAGCATGGAACATATTCAAGTTACAGCAGAGATCAGGCTCGGGCTAAAATATATTCTGCCTAAAGGTCACAGCAAAACCACAGCAGAAAGGACTCTAAAGAATTCTGATCATTATAATCAGTATAAAAGGTTATTCCCGGATGCGGGGTGACTCAGCGGTTTGGCGCCTGCCTTTGGCCCAGGGCATGATCCTGGAGTCCCGGGATCCAGTCCCACATCGGGCTCCCTGCATGGAGCCTGCTTCTCTCTCTGCCTGTGTCTCTGCCTTTCTCTCTCTCTTGCTGTCTCGCATGAATAAATAAATAAAATCTTTAAAAAAAATTAAAAAATAAAAGATTATTCCTACTTGTATTTTTTTTCTCTTGAAGACAGGTGGCATAGGTTTCTTCTGAAACATACGTGGTGACCCAGGATGGGATGCAAAAGGGAGTGGATAGCAAAAAGAAATAGAAATTGGAAGTCACGTCACGGATTTAGCAATAGCCTCCCAAATATTCCAGATGAAGTATTTCTTCAGTATTCCTATTTCTTACTACTTGAGAAAAGATCCAGAATCACTTTTAAAGGCCAGTTTCAAACCTTTGTTGTCTATGTAGGTAACAAATCAATCTTCCTCATAATTTCATCCTGCCTCCTGACTTCATGGTTGCCAATATTTTTGAAACGCACACCACAAATCATAAAGAATCCTCCCATTCTGCTTGTCCCTATCTGCCAGATAGTCATTCCCTCTTCGTTCCAAATGAATTTCTTCCAGGAAATTTTTTCTGGACTAGGTGGGATAGGAGAAAGATGCTTTTACAATCCAAGTTCAACACACTCCCAAGATATATTAAAATGGGAAATTAATAATGTTCATCCTCCTCACAAGAAAAGAAAGCCCATTAAATTCGATTCAAATATAAATTTATAAAAAAAAACAAAACAAAAACAAATATAAATTTATCAGTCAAATACCTTGAAACCTAGTCTTTCTCCTTCTATTGAGGTGTCTCTGTTGCTTTTTGAGCTGGTAGTCATCTTAAAATCCGAACAATTTTTGGAAGAAATTAGTTTCTTCCTTTTTTTTAAGATATATATATATATATATATATATATATTTTTTTTTTTTTTTTTTTGACAGAGAGCGCACACACACACACAAGCAGGGGGTGGGGGTAGTAGTAGGCAGAAGGAGAGGGAGAAGCAGGCTCCACACTGAACCTGATGAGGGGACCTCAGGGCCTGACCCTGAGATCATGACCTGAGCTGAAGGCAGATGCTTAACCAACTGAGCCACACAGGTGCCCCAGAAATCAGTTCCTTTAAAGCTGTTGGTTATAGGAGGATATTAAACCAAAAAACAAAACAAAGCCAGACCAAGTGTTCTTTTCTTTCTATATTGGTAATAGCAGAGAAAAATACAACTGTTCATTCTTTTAAAGTGCTTTTGGAGTCCAGGGAATAACCTGTAGGGCTCACAGTTGCCAAAACTATGTGCATCTGGTCCCATATACATATGGCTGGGTAATATTTTGAGATATTTACAGGTTGTTGTTTTGTTTTTTCCACCCTTCATTTTCCCCTTTCCATTCTACGATTTAAGCTGACAGTAAGCTCTGTGTGTCAGTGCCTGGGGGAAGTAAGGGAAGAATGCAGAGCAAGTCCAGAAATTTTATCTGCTTTTGTTTCCAAAAGTTAAAAACCTAGAGACAGGATAAAGTTTCAGAAAACAAGCTTGGAGAAGCAGAAGAGAAAGACATGACTCTCCTTATTAATGAGGGTCCCAACCTGAGCAAGGGAGCCCCAGCTGTTGGCCTCTTTTGCCAGAGGAGCTGTGCATTGCTCCCTGGCCTCAAATACCTGGTCTCCTGGTGCACTTTGGGCCTGGGGTTCTTGGCCCCACAGAAGGTTCTGCTCCATTTGAGGCAGCGCAGTGCCTGAGTGCCAGCTGGAGGCCTCAGAACAGCAGTGTGGGCTTGGCCACCAAGGATGGCTAGTCACCAGAATAGACTAGAGATGATTTCCGGGACATCATGTAAGATGATTAAATTTTAGAAATCCTGGAGGAGAGAAGGAGCCCAATAATAAAGGTGAAGTAATTTGCTACCATTACAGTGGGTTGGTTCTCAGAAGTTGGTTCATTCATTTAAAAATTTAACAAGTATTTATTAAAAGTAATCAGTAAGTCACGCACTGTTCTAATGGCTTAGACACACTCATGAACGAAAGGAAGATCCCTGCCCTTATGGAAATAAAATTGTTTTCTAAAGTCCTATTGCTTAGAGTAGTTCTATTCTTCACCGACTTCCTCCTTCTGACCCGGGGCCCTTTGCCACCCTCAGCCTTGGGGCAGAGAGAGGGAATGAGTTCATGAACATGCAGGTTGAGATGGGGCTGAGGGAGAGAAACACTGGGGAGGATGATGAGGAAGGCCTCCCCTTGAGGAAGGGTGCAGATAGAGGCATCCAGCTAATGGGATCCCAGGACACAGAACTCACACAATTCTTCCCCTTTAGATCTGCAATTTTGTCTTCTTTTAAACATTGCTGCACCTTTTTTTTTCCCTCAGGT